CCACGAAATGCTGTCGTCGGACCTTCTTCACCAGGTCATCAAGGGCTCGTTTAAAGATCATCTGGTAACGTGGGTCGGGGAGTATCTATATCTGGAGCACTCAAAGGCAAAGGCGGACAGTATCATGGATGAAATTGACCGCCGGTGCGACTCATCCTATACTTCTCGAATGTGGCAGCACTAAATATACACATGTAGGATCGCCGCCGCTCCCGCGTTTCCATGCTTGCGCCGCTTCAAACAAGGCCGCCGATTCAAACAGTGGACTGGGGACGATTCCAAGGCGCTCATGAAGGTATTTTTAACCCGCTCCATTCTAGCTTTCCGAGATAACTAACGTGCCTTCAGGTTTATCTCCCTGCCATCAAGGGACTTGTTCCGCCTGAGATGGTCCAGGCAATCAGCGCCTTCCTCGACTTCTGCTACCTCGTACGGCGCGCGGACTTCGATGAGTCTACTCTGGATGCCGTCGACGCGGCCGTGGAGCGCTTTCATCGCCACCGTGAGATCTTCAGGTCCACCGGAGTGCGAGAGGGGTTTTCTCTGCCTCGTCAACACTCCATCGTCCATTACCGCCGCAATATAGAAGATTTTGGCGCTCCAGGGGGTGTTTGTTCTTCTATCACTGAGTCGCGCCACATTACTGCCGTCAAGAAGCCTTGGCGACGGTCTTCTCGGTACGAAGCATTGTCCCAAATGCTTCAAACAAACCAGCGGCTTGACAAGCTGGCCGCTTCCCGTGCTGACTTCATCGAGCGTGGGATGCTTCCCCCAGTCCATACCCCGGGTCCCGACAAGCGGAAGCCACCCGATGAAGATGATGATGGGGGGCCAATTGACGAGGCGCGTGTAGAGGGAAACGTTGTTCTCGCTCGCAGAAGAGGTACCCATTCTGTGCAGCACGTCAAGTGAATTTTACTAACTTCGATGATCAATATGATAGAACGTTCCTATCCCCGCCTTCCGGAAGACCTTGCGGCGCATATTGGTGTTCCTAACTTTCCCAACCTCCTGGCGAGCTTCCTTCGCGATCAGCTTCAATCTGATACCTACTCCGATGACGGCAGTGCTGAGCTCGACTCTTCCGACATCTCCGAGCATCCCGTTTCCGTCTACCATTCCGCCATCGCCACATTCTACGCGCCCAGCGATCCGTCTGGTATCCGGGGCATGCGCCGAGAGCGTATTCGATCTACTCCCACTTGGAGGAAGAAAGGAGCCCGACGCGACTGCGCTTTTGCCGTCGAGAACCAAGAGACACCCGGCTTCCGTGGCATGAGTGTTGTCCGTGTGCGCCTTTTCTTTTCTTTTTCGCATGATGGCGTCAACTATCCGTGTGCTCTTGTCGACTGGTTTAAGAAGGTTGGGCGATCTCCGGACATTGAGACCGGGATGTGGATCGTGGAGCCAGAATACCGAGGCCAAAATCGGCTCTGCACCGTGCTTCATCTCGATGCGCTACTCCGCGGTGCCCACCTTCTCCCAGTTTACGGATCTCAGCACCTACCTGTTGGATTTCGTTATGTACATTCTCTCGACGCGTTCACTGCTTATCATGTAAATAAATATGTAGACCATCACGCAAATGAAATCGCATTTTAATTCCGTACTTGTAATAATGATATTCTTACATATTCTGACACGCACATAGTAAACTGGCGCGGATGGTACGGCTGTTGAAAAGCTGTTGCATCTGGCAATGTTTTTATTCTGGTTCCATCTGGTTGAGTCTGGCTGGTTTGGGAGCCATACCAACCAGAGATGTCATGTCATCCAGACACACCAGACCTAAAACATTTTGCTGATGTTGAGCAGATTCCAACTTGCTTGGTGGGATATCACGACCCTGATTCTGGAACTAAAATAATAGAATATCTCCAACGACGAATGTGAGATTAACACTGCGTTGAGGCCCTATGTAGTCACAGGGTGTCGCATGTTCCGTTTCTCTTTGGAATAGGAACATAAAGTAGCTAATTATGAAGAGATAAAGCACTGTAAGTACTTTGACCGTGCGTGTATTCTTGAGTCTGGTTCAACTAAAGCGAATTGACCCAAGTGATGGTCTACAAAACTACCCATATCAAAGTCTCGGGAATATTAGATAGATCCAATAGCTCTTCCGTGCCACTACTACGCGCCAGCCAAATGTCATGCATGATGTAAAAAGAATTCGCGGAAACGTGAACAGATAAACCATCTGGTTCAGCTACAGCGAATAGAATGCACCGGATATCGAAGTCCCAAGACTATGAGATATCGGTCCAATGGTGCAGTTGTGCACGCCTGCGACATATTTGAATTTGTTTGCAGGAGGGAGTTATAAACCCTGGACTGGAAAGTTTACTGGTGGCCAACGTTGGCCACCACTGGCTGCTGGTGGCCACTGTTGCATGTTATTTGCCATTGATAAAGGAGATTAGATAGTGGCAGATGCTGTTCGATACCGGATATCTCCGCTTCTTTCCAGCAATTCCCATTGGCTCTCACCGTTAACTGCTGACTTTTGCTACATAATATCGGTTTTATGATTCACAGCAGCTGAGTTTAGATTTGACAGATTCCAAAATAATGATACCCACTGGTAATCAACGGGGTTCCAATTAAATATTAAATATGTTTTCTGGACAAGTAGAGGGAGTAAACCTCCATTGGATGGAATATGAGTTGCGGCTGAAATTCTTTATGGGGATACTAGTTTATTAATCTGTAACCTTTGTGGATAGGCGTAAACCAATAGAACTGTAAATCGAGCTTTTTCACAATAGTGGGAATCACTGATACACACTGTTTCCCAGTGACATAAGTATAGGAGAAATGATAAATGGTGGAATGTGTAGTGACATTAAATGACCCTCCCTTCCTGTGTACTGCAGTATTAGTTGGGTAACAGTGGTTATCAGTACTTATTGGTGCTGTGCATCAATATTGTTGACAGCAGAGATTTCCTGTGGACTTTCTTTTCAGATTTACATAGGTATCCAGTGAACCCCAACGGTTCTCACAGACTATTCAATTTTTTATAGAACACCGCTGAGCTCGTAGTGGTTAGCAGTGGCTCTCAGTGGTTCCCAGTGGTTCACGATGAGCAGGGGTCACCCATCAGTGGTTACCGATGTCTGCCACTGATGTTTCCAGTGCGGGGTATATTACTGGCAGGAGGCGCCTGTTCGACTCGGGCTTGGACCATAGGGCTTGTGATTGTGAGCAGCTTTTTTTTTTGCCTTTGCGTGTCGTTGAATCATATGGCAGTGAGAATATGAATACAAATACTTTTAGCCGTGTGCGTGTTCTCCAGTCCAGTCACAGTAATTTCAACCGAAGCGAATTCGTGCGACTCGGAGTCAATATATTAAGTTAATTAACTGCCAGCTCAACTACTCTATAGACCCCCAAAAGAAATCTGTCTGTCAAAAAATAAAGAGCCTCGAGTTCGATGACTATATCTATCCGCGAAAAGAACGATGGGCTAGCAGTGGAAGATGAGAAGACGACTCAAAGTGGTCGGAAAAAGCCGCGATCAAAACACGTGCAGATGGCGATGCCAAGCCCGAGCAAAGCTTGAGCAAAGCACTCCCTTCTTCTCCTCCTGCCGGACGCATTTTCGCGGTTGTTACTCGCTGGATGCCACTTTCGGCCGACGCGCCGCGCCACGCAATGGCGTATACCAGCACGCCGGCTATCACACAATGCCTCGTCGCGCTCTCTCTTTGTCTACCAGAACTTGCCTGTTGCCCCATCGCACGTACACACGTTTCTCCGTCGACGTGTTATCAGTGGCGTCTGGTTGACATGCCCACCCTCCTTCACGGTCTCATGCGTCCTCGTCCTAGCACCAGCGCATATTTGCCCCCACCACCGTGACGCGAGTCGTGACGACAAACTTCGCCTTGCTATGCATGTGAGTATGCCTCGCTACTCTCTCGTCGGAGCGTCACCCGCAGGCATCGCCCGGTACTCTAAGTCCTCACAGGACAAGGCACGTCCGCTCTCGCCGCCATCCCATCCCCCCATCGCACTGTCCTCCGCCCCTGCCCTTTGCCCGCTTTATGTGCTCAGCTCCGGAATCGGGAACGGCGCGCGGCGCGCCGTCGCACCCGGAATCGTGCCGGGCGGCAAACGGCTCACCGCGCTGCACACGTCATCCTGCTTCTGCCGGCGATGTAGATCCCGAGGAACCTCTACCCCGCATCCGCGCTGCGTCGACTCTTGCTTCCCTTGGCTTGTTGGGGAACGAATCGCCTTCCCCGTGCGTGCAAGCCTGTGATCTCGTTCGCTCCGAATGGCGCGCGCAGCCTCGCCCCATCGTTCGCCTGCTGGTACTGCCTCAGGTACTCGCCGGGCCCATCAGGCCACGCTTGCTATATACAATTGCGGCGCGCGGGTATTACCGTGGCTCCGCAGATCTCCTAGGGCCCTCTCTTCTGCTGCTGGCCTCTCAGGCGCTCGCCGAGGGGAGTGTGCTCGCAATCACGGCGCGCAAGAGGCGCGTACTTACGACTCCGCTTGCCCCCGCATGGCTGCGCGCGTATCTGCCCCTCGCTCGCGTTGTCCCGGTCCCGCTATCACATGTTCGCAGTTCGTCCCGCGCCCGCTCGGCTGCTGTTGTGCCTGCCGGGGCGAGTGATATTCATACCGCCCGCGATCGGGGCGTGCGCTCGTTACACTCGGCGCGCGCTCACCACTGCCGTGTGGCAGCTCCGCCACGCGGGCGACGGTGTGCACGCTGTTTAACTACTCCGCGCGCACGTATATCTGCGACCCGCTGGCTTTCATGTTATCTTCGTAGCTGAGGGAGCAAACAAGACGAACTGCTCGCCGGGGGAGCGTCTTCGTACCTGCGCTACACTCCAGCTTCGCATAAGTATTATTACTCCAGCTTCGCATACGTATTAATTGAACCGTCCGTCTGTTCTCTCGAGCCTGTCAGAACCTCAACCAAAGGTCCAATCCACTGCAAAACCCCATCTCATACTGCAGGATCGAGAATATTAGATATCTGCTCAATGGTGCAGGGGTGCATGCCTGTGAATAGTGATGTCTTCTACAGTGTACCAGCAGGAGGCGTCCGTTCGACTCGGGCTTGGGCCATGACGAGTGAAGCGGTTGCTTCTTTTTGCCAACTTCCCATCTTTTGAACATCCTACGACTGGAACGGCCGGCGCACGCGAACCGGGTTCGTAACCTGAATTGCGTAGGGTGGCCATGGAGGGATGTGTTCGCGTACATGTGAGATAAAATATCAATGCGCTCCACGATAATGGGCGGAAACCAACGAGACATGGGATCTTCTTCCCCTCCAGCGGCGCAAAAGCTTACAATTCGTATCCAGTATCAAGAATGCCAGATATCGGTTCAATGGTGCACTGATAAATTCAAGAAGCTCGTCATCTAATTGATATCAGCAGATTGCGCCGTTCGACTTGGGCTTGGTCAATAACTCAGGCAAGATCGATTTCTTTTCGCCTACCATGATGCGTCATCTGATAGCTATAGTGAGGGTATCCATGTACTACTTACTATGGAGCGCATTGTACGAACATTTTCTTTGGCTGCGCCAGTGTTGTCTTTGACGGCGTCAAACAGAGTTTGACGGAACGTCAAGATTTTGACCATTCGTCTGACGATTCGTCTGACGGTTTCCTTTTTTGGAGCAACACGGTTTTCAGGGCGCAGGAGGGGCTGCGGCTGATCAAGTACCTTCAGGGGATCCATGTCGGTCTTTTGGAGTATTTTATACCCCATACTCAACGCCGTTCAAGCCCTCAAGATGAAGTGCATATTTTGGACCGAGGTTTTTTCGTCAGCGGCTCTTATTAGCCTGAGTGTGATTTTTTCAGATGTAAAACTGATGGATATCGATCTAGTAATGGTCCAGTCCAAGTTATGGGTGTCCTTGGGGTATTGTACGCCTGTTTTCCGAATTAGGCAATCGTCAAACGAGCCGTCAATAACCGTCAAACGCGGCTGACTGCCGTCAAACGGATTTGACGATTGACCCGCCACGGACAACACTGGGCTGCGCGTGCGTTCTCCCTTCGACTTCGGTTGACTTTAAATAAAACGAATTCCCGCCAGTGAATGGCCACGAAGAACCGCTCGATATCGGAGTATCGAGAATCTTGGTGTAGCTTCAATGGTGCGGTGGGGCACGCCTGTGGAACACACAATTGGTACAAAATGCTGTATCCGCTGGAGACGCCCGCTCAACTCGGGCTGGAGCAGGGCAGGCAACTGAAGTTTTCTTTCTTTGAAAATATAGTATCAAGAAATCTTTTTGATCATCCCCTTCCCTTGCCTCTGCCGTGTTGCGTCATCTGTCGGCGAGAATACTTATTATGAAGAGCGAATAGTACAGATATTTTTTAGCCGTAGGTGTGCGAGTCTCAGTTCGACTCCAGGTATTTTTGACAAAAGTCAATTCAAGCGAGTGAATAAATGGCGGAACAAATCTATCCCTAGATTATTGGGTATCTGTGCAATGGTGCACGGTGCACGCCTGAGAGATATTTCCTTGCAGCACTGGGTGTATTTGTAGGAGGGTCCCGTTCGACTCGGGCTTAGACCATTGTGGTAGGAGGTTCCGAGGTCGCCGATATTTGGTAGTGTTTGGCTAGAGTGTCTGAGGATAGCCACACAGTAGCACATAGTAGATAGATTCTCACTCAGTTTCGTACTTAGTATCAGCTTCGTATAGACATCTCGCATCACACCCGGCGGTACACTCCACCATGAGGAGTAATGAACAGTGGGCCTTTTCGTTTTGCCTCTGATCTGGCGGTGGCATTATCGGTATATTAATTTGAGAGTTAATCTGAAGAGAGCATATGTATATGTGTGTTCTCGAGTTTTAATTAATTTCACCCAAAGCGAATCAACATGGGCAAAATACTTCGCCGCGTCAGGTGGGCGCGGCGGTGACGCGGCGGTGCAGCGGCTCAAAATTAATGAGTGCCGTTCACTTGTTCTACAGTGCCTGTCATCACATCACGGTTCCCGATTTGGCAGTAAACAACTCCAAACTTGAGACGTCTAATTACATTTTGTTGTCATCATCTATTACTTCAAAAACACTCTAAAAGTGCTCTAGTAAGGTGAAAGAAGAGTCGGTGTGCTTGGTGAATTGAACAGACAAAGTTTCATTTTATTTATTTTTTGACACCTCGAAAAGTGAAACAAACCCTAAAATGATGCCATCACTAGGGTTAATCAATCACGTGGTAGCCCCTATCTACTCCCTGTTTGCCCGCGCAATTATTTTGGGGTTTGATTTGGCATCCGCAGGGATGCGGCGGTGAGAGGAGTACAACTTGACTGCATATGCCGACTGTCGAAGGTTTAATCCTTGCCTTAACAAAAAGATATTAGCCCACACTGTGCATGCCATAGATCAGTCGCAACAAACCTGTATGCATCCATATAACGATAGCAATGGCGGAAATAACGGCGGATGTTCATCAGCAAATCCGTAAATATCTGATATGACCTGTTGTGTTATGTCTTGCCTTGTCTGCCTTGCAACGCCTCCCAACCACCTTGCAAAGCCTTCCATCACCTTGCAAGCGAACCAAACACCGGATATTCATATACATGGCTCTCATCAGTCCAGGTATTTCCTTGCAGGGTAATGAACCACTCTGATCTTCATGGTATACGACGGCAACTTCTGGGGAGAAAATTATTATTACGCAAGTAAATTTAAATATTGTCCAAGGAAGTTTCATTGTGTGATTGGGAGACTCCAACAACCAACATATACAGCAGGCAGCGGCTCTGGCCACTCCGAGTCGGAGCTGCCGATTCAGACGAGCCAGTGCCCGCCACCTCCACTAATTTGAACGTGGCCTCAGTATCCGATAATGTGTGAGTAGTTTAAATTTGTATGGCTTGGAACTTCATCGATTGATAAGAGTAAGTATGACTGACTCGAAGCGACTCCGCAGCCTCCGCTGGTGTCAGTGCCTCGCAGAGCGGATCATGATGCGAATGTTTGATGAGTTTCAAACTCTGCTTGACATATTGCGTGCTTGTTTGTCGACCAAACAAGTTCATCTTTCTTCCTTTCCCCCCACTCCGCTCCTTCTCTACTCCCTCGTCTTTCGTCAACGGTCAAGTGTGCAGCTCAAGAACTCCGACCATTCAATGCAATTGCCTCCCGATACCTATGAAAGTACTTCTGATGGCCCCTGCAAGAAACTGGTCAAGCTCAAGTCAAGCTCGCCAACGTCAACTTCAAGCATCCTCAAGTCACTTAAAGCTACTCTTGATGTTATGCTCTCAAGGATCCCGAGGCCCAAGCTACTTCCCTAGCCCCGTCGCTTCATCAAGATGACAAGCCCTCAACCAGCTTCAAGTCGTCAATGGTCGGCTGCATCATGACTCGTCTTTCGTGCCTTTCTGCATTACCTTTTTTTGGCGGTTGTTGTCGTTCTGCCCTGATCCTTTTTTGGGTTGCACAAATCCCCGCTGGCCTGCTCTGCTTGTGATTGTCCCGTCGCATTTGGTCGCTCCATCCGTTGAAATCCATTGAGGACTTGTTGGCGTGTTCTACATGTAGCAGTAGTCGATTGCAATCCATTTTTTTTCTCTCTTCATTTGTGTATGAACCCAGCTGTGGAACGGATACACAACCTTGTTGGCCTGATGTATTTTTATCTGGCGAGATGACCCTTGCAAACCGCTGTGGATGTTCTATAAGCCAAGTTGAAAAATTCATAAGGCTTAGTTGTATTATATGACTTTGGTGCCTTGCATGGCCATATATGATCTGGCAATGATCTTACGGTTTTGCTGATGTTGTCTGTACTGACAAGGTCCAAAGATTCTGGCACAAGTTTTTGTGCGCATGGAAATGTACCGTCTGTATATTCCCGGAAACCTGGGGAATTCAGAATAAAAAGACCGGATGAAATAAAAGCACTCACGACGCTTCAGCTGGCTCCACACCATCTCAATTGGATTCAATTCACAATGGAATTTGGGAAGGAAAAGGCACTTGTGCCCCGCCTTCTCAATGATAAGCTGCAAAAGAGGCTTCTCGTCAAGGAAGTCCTGCTGCAGTGACAGAACACGTTGCATGCAGCAATCGCTCTCGCGATCGAGATCGACATCCTCCAACTCAGAAAGACCGCGCACCCCGAGATCACCATTACCTGTGCCCTCTGCCTCATCATCCTTTGATTTCGCGGCTTTCATGGCTTTCTCCCGAGCGGCCTGAGACAGCTTGCACTTTGCACAAACTCCCAGGACCTTCCGGTGTTTCACTTCAAGAGCTTGCAGAAGGCCGCGCTCACGAAGAACCTGCTCCATTCCCTTGGGTTGTCCAGCCAAAGAAGCACCGTCAGAATCGTTCCCCCTGTAGTCATGAGCGAAATTCATATGCTGAGGCTGCCCAGTGCTGGGAATTGTTGTGTCGCGCATCTTCGGCTGCTTTCCGCCAGGCCCGCGGTTCATCTTGTGTGCCAGTAGTGCATCCGAAGAGAAAGCCTCATGGGCAGACGAGCAGTCAAAGATAAATACAGCAACGCCGTCAGGGTACTTGACATCGAAAATTTTGATTGCATCTTTGACCTAGTAATGCTTGCATGAGATGGAAAGACGGAATGAATTAAAAACTCCAACCTGCGCAATTAGCTGAGGCATGTCCCACCAAGGATCATGATTCGCACCAGGATAAATAATTCGACGGGCGTCGAAACTTGGGATTTGATATGCTGTGTATGGAGCGGGCGGTGGTGGCGGAACCCAGTCATTCTCAGCGTACGTCCGTCCCTGTTTAGGCGCCTCTGGATCGGCCGATGTCCCTGCCTTTGATTTACCCTTCTTCGCCTTCCCTTTCTTCGCAACGACTTTGTTTGATGCAGCCGTTTTCTTTGGGGCTTTCGGTGCAGGAGCACGGGAGCGGCCAGGATCTCTACTGGTCTCCCCCCAAGCCTCGTCCGCCTCGTCGATTTCGTCCAGCGACGGGGGCTCAACATCCTCAGCTGCATCCTTTCGGATGACCGGTCGACAGTTGCGTTTTGGCCGCATGTTTGTTGACTAAACGGAGTCGATTGAGCGATAGGCCCAACCATTTGTCGTTGAACTGCGCC